CCAGGCGCACGAGGAGCCGCAGCAGCAGAAAGGCGAAGGGCACAGCGATCTGCATGAGGTGGAAGATGGCCGTGCTGAACCTGGTCAGGATGCAGGTGGAGGCAAAGGCCAGCAGGCTGGCACAGGGGTACAGCGCGAGCTTGGCAAACATGAAGGCGTGCTCCTGGCCGCCAAAGCGTACGGAGGGCTGCAGCGTCTCCCCCTCCTGCAGCAGCGCCGTGGTCCAGATGGCAAACTGGAAGATGCTGGCAAAGAAGATGATGGCGCAGCTCACGCGCACCCTCTCCAGCTCGTCGTGGGGCTGCCGTGCGAAGGCCGAGGTCTGCTGGTAGGCCAGGGGCAGGCCGCCCACGAAGGCCAGCGAGAGTGTGTTGAGCAGCCCCATGGGCTGCGTGGCCTTGCGGACGTGCAGGAAGAGCGAGTGGTGAGCGAACCAGAGCAGGCCGACTGTGGCGAAGGAGCCGAAGTAGGCCAGGAAGCGCGGCCCCGACTCGCTCAGTGCTGCCACCAGGCTGCCGCTGAACTTCTCCCGCACGTCCTTCGGGTCCGGGACGTTGTCTTCGCTGAGGAGTGAGACACGTGGCATTTGCAGCAGCCGTACTGAGGGCTTCGGCTCAGGGCTGCTGGCCCACCCTGTCCCAGGCCTGAGGGGCTGCATCCCGCCCTCCCCCCCCAACTTCAGATGAATGACGTGCACTGAGTTTTCCTTGATCTGTGCTCACTGCAGGCAGGATACTGAACAATTCAGTGCTCACAAGCTCAAATTTAACTGCATCTTGGGTTTCTCTGCTGACTGGCAGCCCTGCCTGCTGGCCCCCAGGGCTGGTGAGCAGCCTGGGCCCTGAGCCGTCAGCCCCTCTGGCCCACGTGGGTGGGGGCTTGTGAGGTCTGTCCACCCTCCTGCAGCTTCCTGCAGTCCACAGTGGTCCTGCAGATCTGAGGGGGTTTGCCTCTGAGGTTCTGATTCCTGGGCCGAACTTCACTGTAAGGACCAATGTGAAGGCACGCTGGGCCCAGGCTTCTCCCCTCATGGAGGTGGTGGGTGCTGTGGAGGGGCTGAAGCAGCCTGGGCCACCTCTGTCCTCACAACAGCAGGGGACAGAGATGGGGGGTTTCCTGGGGGTCTGCACCTGGGCCCCTGGGCCCTGGGCCCCACAGCCACTCCGTGCTGCCCCCGCTGGGGGGACCTGCAGAATGGCTCTGGCTGCAGGGCAGAGGCAAAGCCAGCTCATTCCAGAACCACAGGTCTAGGCCTCAGAGACTGGTACCAATGGGCATTTGCTCCCGACTTCTTAAAAATTCACAAATGACAGTAAGAAAACACTGCCAAGAGAAAACTGGGAGCGTCGTGACTGCAGGCTGTCAGAAACAGAACAGAAAATCAGGGTGTTTTAACATTGACAAAGTAAGAACAAACCGGAACGTGACCGAGGAATAAAACACTACAAAAAAGGACGGAAGGCTGGAAAAGCAGCAGGTAGGACAGTTAGAAATAAAAGGCCAGTAACTCAGGCTGGAACTCAGACTGACTGGAGGGCAGGCCAGGCGGAGCAGAAGAGCTGCAGTGAAGGGTGGGGGCAGGAACTCAGTGGAACTTGGGGACCGACATAGGGAGATGAGAAGCCACCCACACAGTCAGGTGGGTCCTCAGGGTGGGGCTCCCTCTGGGGAGGGGGGCAGGGAGATCTCAGGGCCTCTGGGGTTGGAGCCTGGGCGGGTCCTCACCAAATGTCCAGGATGAGCAGCGTGGCCACGATGGCGTAGACCCCGTCGCTGAAGGCGTCCACCCGCTCCTTGCTGAGAGGCCCATGCAGGTCGAAGGTGAAGAACTCCAGGCTGTGAGCTGGGGGCTCCCTGGGGCCTGCGGGAGTGCAGGGGGAAGAGCGGCCAAGCCCTCAGGGCCTCGGGGCCAGTTGGGGGTCACTGCCCTCTTGCCTGAGGGGCCGGAGCATGCAGGCCAGGGGAGAGGACCCTGCAGGGACGCCCGGCTGGCAAGGGTGCTCCGAGGCCCCCACTCTAGCCCGCCCAGGCACCTACCCACAAGACTGCCTCGGCACCAGCTGGCGGCCTTGCTGACGTAGGGGAGGAAGATGACTGTCACCATCAGCAGGTACGACTGCAGGAGACACGGGTGTGTCAGTGGGGCTTGGCACCTCCACCGAGGGCCGGACTCAGGAATCCCACCCTGGAGCCATCTGCTCCAGAGGGAGGGCAGCACAAGCAACAGAAGCAAGACCGGCGGCTCGTTCCCCATCAAGATGCAAACCTGCTGTGCGTCAGGGAGTGTTACCAGGAGGCTGGGAGCATGCGCAAACCTCCTGTCAGAGAAGAACCTCGTGTCCAGCACGTGTGGGAGCTCCTCCAGCTCCACATCAGAAAGACAAGTAACCAACTGGAAAATGGGCAGAGGACTTGAACTGACATTTCTCCGAAGAGAGACGTGGCCCCCACACACGGGGACAGGTGCTCAGCACCACCAGTCCTCGGGGAGACGCGAATCCAAACCACGAGAGAGCACCGCACGCCTGGGGACAGGCGGCAGCGAGGACAGGGAGGCTGGAGCCCTCGCACACTGTTGGTGGGACGTAAGATGGCGCTGCTGCTGTGGAAAACAGAACAGAATGTCCTCAAGAAATTAAAACAGATAATTACCATAGGATCCAGCAATTCCACTTCTGGGTATAAACCCCAAAGAACTGAAAGCAGGGTCTCGAAAAGACATTCGCACACCCACGTTCATGCGTCACTATTCACAGCAGCTGAGATGCAAGTATCGTGGACGCAGGATGTGGCCCGTCCACCAGTGGCTGATGGAGGGAGGGAGTCCTGACACTGTGACAGCAGGGGTGATCCTTGAACACACGCTGCGTGAAAGAAGCCACACACACAAGCCTCATATTTTGTGATTGTTTATGTGAAATACCCAGAACAGGCAAGTCTGTATAGACAGAAAGTAGATTCGTGGTTTCCTGGGACTGAGGGGAGGAGGAGTCAGGAGTGACCGCTAATGGGTATAGGCTTTCAGTTTGGGGTGATGAAAGTTCTAAGATCAGACAGGGGTGATGGGTGCACAGCGATGTGATTGAAATTAATGCTGCTGAGCTGTGCACTTTAAAACAGCCACAGCGGTCAATTCCATGTGATGCATAAACCCAATTATTTGAACAGGGGAGCATGGCAGGCCAGGAGTGTTTCTAATCCGAGGTGGTCCCACCGCCCCACCCTGTGCCCCACCCTCACGGAAGGGCTCCCGCCCGTCCTTCCTGGCTGTGTGTCCACGTCACCTGGCGTGGCCAGAGGACTCAGGGAAACAAGGGGCACTTTGTAAACAGACAGGGCAGGCTGGCCTCACAGGCCTGCTTATTACCCAGTTTCCACGTGACAAGTCACACATGTCACTCGGCAGACACACACGGGGTGGGGGGCGGATCCCAGGTGTGAGGCAGGTAAGAGCAGGGGCTCTGGGAGAAGGCAGGAGGGGATGGGGTGGGAGGTGCTGCGGGACAGGAGGAAACAACACACAACAGGGAACACGAGTACAGTGGAGGTCGGGGGACCCTGCCCCGGTCTGGAGGGATGTGAGTCCAGGGGGAGCAGGCGCCAGTACCGGCATGAGGGGCTCAGGGCAGAGGCCCTGGGACCTGAGTGTCACCAGCAGAGGAAGGTGGTCCAGAGGGAGGTCAGAACGACCTGAGTCAGGGCAGTGAGCAGTGGCTGGACCTGGAGGGTGGGTCCAGCAGTGTCCCGGATGGGGAAGGGTGGCGAGGACGCCTGGGAGGATGGCCATGGCTTGGCAGGGAGGCTGCGGTAGGTGGGCCTGGGGGTGGGGAGGCTGTGACAAGCTATGTCACAGGTGATGACGGGTAGGGGCCCAGGCAAGGAGGCCAGGGAAGGGGGACAAAGAGGAAAGTGGGAAGAATGCCGCACAGAGAGATGACTGCTCTCTCTGAGGCTGCCGCATGCGCTGACCACCCAGGCTCCCTAGCCCCACCGAGGACCCTCCCCTTTCCCAGTGTGTCGGCCCAGGTGTCCCTCCCCGGCTGCCACCATCCCGCCAGGGCCTGGTCACCATCCCCCATAGCACGCTGTGCACTGCCAGCCTGGCCCCTGTGGCCCACCCATCCCTTCCTTCCCTGCCCAGCGTCTGGGTCCTGTTACTGCGCACAGACCCCCGTGTCCTCCACTCTGCTCGCCTCTCCTTGCCAGGCCCCATGTGCCACACCCCAGCTGTCCCTCCGTCCTCCTCACCCTAACCCTGACCCTATCCACAGACAGGAGGGGTGTCCCACTGAAACCAGGATGCAGATGCGGCCTCAGACCTGCTGCCCCATAACCCCATCCTTCCATCCCTCCCTGCTGGCCCTGGCTGGCCCTGCTCTGTCCACAGGGAGCGGCTCTGCTGAAGCCACAGCCAAGGGCACCCTGCCTGACCCTGAGGGCCCCTGCAGCACGCCTCCCACCAGCGGGAGCTGGGCCCTCCTCTCGCACAGCAATCACGTTCAAGTCTGAGGAAAGCAGGCAGAGGCCCTAGGTCTGCTCCAACCTGGGGTGTCCACCTTCCCCTCTGCCTGCCCCTGGCCTGACCTGGGTGTGCCGTGGACCCCAGCGCCCAGCCCCATCCTTCAGGGAACAACCCTGCAGCCCTTGCCAGCCTATTTGTGTTAAACTTGGAATTCTCTTGAAACACTAGAGATTTAAAATAACGTGAACCATTCATTTTTTCCACAATTCTTTGGACGCTTTAGGTTTAAACGTTCACTTTACTTCTCTGGTGCTCAAGTAGAGCCAGGAGCCGTGCCTAAAGCTTCTAGGCAGCTCTGAGACAGCGGCTTGTCAGAACTCACCTTGGCTCCTGGATGATGGAAGCGTCACTAGAACAATGTTCCTCTTAAATTAGCTGCTGGCCAAGAGGGGGGTCTCAGCCAGCCTTGACCCCTGCGGCTTGGCTAGGATGTTGCTAAGGCATCTCGTTCCCTTACGCAGAACTGTGCACACTCAGGGGAGCTGGGGACAGAGCCAGACACATCTGCACGGCCATCTCTTCCCGCACTCGGGCAAGTTGTGCCCGGGCTGGGCTCCACTCACCACTCACCTCCCTCTTCTCCACTCCCTCCATCTTTCCGGCTCTGGAATTTCTCTCTAACCCTGCCCCCTCAACAGAGGAGGCAGGCACAGCCCCCTGCGTCCCATCCCCCTTGTCCCCCCATTGTCCCCCTTGTGGGGAGTGGGTGTGAGTCTCCCCCCCGCCCCAGCTTCCAGGGCACCAGGGGCCCTGGCGCAGCTCAGTGCCTCCCTCCTCTGCGCAGCCTCCCTCCCCATCCTGGGGTGGCCTCCTCACCCACTCTGCTGCCCCTACTCACCGCAGGGTAGAAAAACAGGGAGAAGCCGGCCGCTGCGAAGCACAGCGCGGGGCCTCGGAGGATGATGCGCAGGATGTGCTGCTTGTAGAGCGCCCGGTGGGCGGAGCGCTGGATCTGGGGGTTCAGGAGGTGGGGGAAGTGGAACGCATACCCCACGATCAGTGCCTGCAGGAGAGATGGGCAGCAGGGCTGGAGCAGAGGCCTCTGGCCAGTGCCCACCTTCCTCCCACACATACAAGTGGGGACCCTCAGGGACGCAGGGTTCTGCTGTGAGGCTCTGCAGGATATCCTGGGGGTGCAGGGGGGACAGGAGCCCTTGCTCTGCTCCCGAGACCGTGTGGGGGTCTCAGAGAGCCCTGCTCCCCTCCAGAGCACCCGAAAGTGCCGGCGGCCCCATCTCACTGTGCTCATCAGCGCAGGGGCCCAGGCCCTGAGCAGACAAGGACATGTCCCACCTGCACAGCCCCGATGGCGATCACACACATGCAGAACAGGAAGATGCCCAGCGGCACGTCGGGGAAGGTCACCATCAGGGAGAACTGCAGCGACAAAGGCCTTGGGTCAGGGTCTCAGGCCCAGGCCCCGGAGCCTTCTGTGCGTCAGCTGGGCTGTGCCTGGGCAGCGGCAAAGCTGCCTCGAGTTAAGGCAGCAAGAGCCCTGGAGGTGTGCCTTCCCCAAGAGCGAGTCCGAGGGCTTTAAGCACTTAGAGCCGAAATGTCATCAGACTCGCGGACAATCCCCAACCTCAGTTCTGTGAGGCACTGAACTCAGAGCACGTCCTCCTTCAGAATTCAGAGGGAGCTGCTGGCTGAGGAGGCGGTGGGGGTCACACTCCGGGGACGAGCCAAGGTTGGCTGGGAGGCCATGGGCTTCGGGGGGCTGGTGGGAGCTGGGAGGGCCGGGGAGCACAGAGGGAACACCCCTCCTTGGGCCCTGGAGGCCTCCCCTCTCCATCGAGCCTGGACACCCCAGTTACACCTCTTCCCCCAGACCCTTCCCTGCAACTCTGTGGTCCACACCCTGGACCACCCAGTGGTCTGAGAGCTTCTGAGGAGGAAGCCTCTTAGGTCTGGGGCCTCTCGCCCAGTGGAGGACAGGCTGGACCCAGGGTGGTGCTCTGCAGGGCACCAGGGACACCAGGGGTGATCCCTGTGACTCACTGTGAATGGCAGGAAGGTGATGGTCATCATGCAGGCCTGGGGAAGAGGAGGGGAGGGGTCAGGGAGGGCAGGCCACTCCAGGTGGCCGGCCAGCAGATGGGTCCCAGGCCCTGCCACCCAGAGGCATCAGGGGGCTGAGCAGGCAGCACCCCCACCCCCACAGTGAAGGGAGAAGCTCACCAGGTTGAGGAGGGCAAGCGTGTCGTCGATTTTCCCAACAACCTGGAACAATCTGAACAATGGGAGGGAGACGGGGAAAGTCACACCATCAATAAACGTGGTCCTACCAGCACCAAACATGCTCCTGAGATGAAATGGTGGTCCACGGAGGCGGGAAGACGTGACCAGAGACCGGAAAGGGGCCGGGGACAGGCAGAGTCACCAAGGGTCAACTCAGGGCTGGAAACTAGCATCCCTTCTGAAAGCCGTCCGTGTCCCCCTGAGCATGTGGCCTTCTCCTGGGCTGCGCTCAGCGGCCTCGGTCCGCGACCTAGGAGGTCTGCACCCAGCCAGGGGCCTCCAGGGCCTCTCGGGGCTGGTACTCAGGGCTGGCTCTGGGGCTGGGCGCTTCTCTAAGTCAGAGGAAGGGGCCCTGTCCCCACTGGCGACCCACTGAGCCCTGGGTGACAAGGCCCCAGGGTGGACCTGTGCCACTTCTGGAAGCTAGGCCTCAAGCTCTCGGGTGTGGCCTCTGCTGAGCGCGCCCCCACGCGAGGCACCTGTGGCCCTGTCCACGCTACTGTGCCAGCAGCCTGTACAGCTACCAGCAGGACTAGACAGGGCAGCTGTGGCCCACCTGGCTTTCGCCAGCCCTTGGGCCTCCTTGCTTTCCGTGAACAAGGGAGGCAGAAGAGAAAAGGCCCCTCAAAGCCTTTAGAGGATCACTTGTCCCCACCAGAAAATCACTTTGCTGAAAGCAAGTACATGACATAAAATGTTAAGAGACACTTTTAAGGGACACGCCAGTGCCTCACGGGCTCCTGGGCTTCCGGCACCCTCAGCACCCCCAGTCAGAGAACATATGTAACCCAGATGTCAGCACCTCCCCTCCCACCCAGAGCCCATCCCTGGGGTTCTCCCTGCCCTGGCCTGGGGCTCAGACGTCCCCTGGGTCCTAAGGAACCTCTTCCCCCCAAAGAGGAAGCTCAGGCCCGACTCCTGTGTCCTGAGGCCTCCACTCTCCTCCCCAGAGTCTGGACCAGGATGGAGGGGCCTGCAAACGCGAGGTTGCACAGTGGCTCAGGCAGGCGGCAGCGCCGTGCCCGGCCCAGACGACACGGGCAGCGTGGGCCTGTGTTCACACGCCACCGCCCTTCACGTCCTGGGCCTGGGGTGGGAAGCCCCGTCATGGTTGTGAGCAGATGGGAACACAGAGGCCTGAGCACGAACCTGCGGTGAGGGGGAGGGGCCCACTAACACCCCCTCCTGGGTGCTCAGCCGCGGCCCACCCCGAGAGTGGGTGGCTCAGGGCCCAGGGCACACGTGCTGCCCCCGGCCCTCAGCAGGCCCAGGCCATACTGGGCACACACGCCGAGCCGCCAAAAATGTGGGCGTCAGCCTGGGGAGAGGCCCTGGCCCGGCCCCATACCGCGTGTGTGCTGCCCAGGCCACGGTCACAATGAGGAATGTCATCAGGTAGACGGCAATTCTGGTTGCTAGAAGCTTCTGTATGCTCTTGTCAAACTCCTGGAACAGAAGAGCATCACGTCAGAGACAGCTTCACTGCATGCACCCAGCAGCCCCGCCACAGGGCACTGAGACCCCAGGGCGGGAGAAGCGCTGAGAGGCTCGGCCTCTGTCCAGGCCCTGGTCACAGATGCACATTCCAGGGTCCTGGGCGGATCCCCCAGAATGCCAGCTCCCGGGCAGAGAGGTTCCTTCGAGCCACTCCAGGACCATGGCAGGGTCCTGTGGCAGCAAGGCCCGTGCTGCCACGGGAGCTACAGCATTGCCAGGTAACAGTCCTCCAGGAGAAGTGTCGCCTGGCGCAGGGTGCTGGGTGGGGCGGTAGGCTGGGCTTCCTCAGTGAGACCTCCAAGTGTGGCGCTGGTGCCTTTCCCATTCTTGCTGGTTCTCTGCACCCACATGAGCAGCCACTCCTTGCCTCACCGGTGGGTCCTGTGGCCTTCAGGACTCTCCTGTCATGTCCTGGCAACACCTTCTCTGAAGGAGGCACCCAACCGCTGTGCGGGCCCTTCTGTTCAGAGCTCTCGAGAACTAGTCAGCAGAGAGAGGGATGACTTCTCAGCAGAACTCATGACCTCCAAGAACATGACCCTGACCGTAGAGAGGTGAGGAGATCTAGCCTCATGTATGTCCCCGTGTCACCTCCTGGCATCTCACGTGCACACACCCACAACCCCATTCTGAAACTGGTGGCACCAAGGTCCCCAGAAGGTTCCAGCGCAGCCAGGTGAGTACCATGGCCCCTTGGGGGGACACGGCTTTCCTGAGCTCGGCCAGCACTCAGCACCAGGCCCCTTCGAGGGGCCCTGGAGCAGAGGGAGCTGCACAGGGCCCTTTACTTATTATGCCGGGGGCCGGCTGCCAACATCTGGCTCGACCTGCATTTCCATTCAGTTCGCATCCCAAGCACATGAGAAGCAGCGTCGTCACCTTCCCACAGGTGTAAAGGCCAAACCCCACACTCCCATGAACCCCAGTGGCCTCCAGGCTGAATGTGCTGGTCGGACCAGAGCCAGACCGGGGCCATGCATACGGGACCCAGCGCTGTGCACCCAGGTGCCTTGAGGTGACACTCACTCAGGAGAGGAGGCCCAGGGAGCCACACCTGCACACGCATGCCCAGGGGCTTCTGGAGGACTTCCATAACCATGTCAGGCTTCTAAGGTGCTACCTTAATCACCATCTTACTTATAAAACGGAAATACTCCAAGTTGGCTATAAATAGAAACTCTGCTTTAAAAAACCTGGTTTGCCACTTGCCTCCATGGCAAAACCACAAGTGTCCGTTTATCACGCAGGCCCAGGTGGGAGCATCTCCTGAGGCTGCCGGCCACTGGGCCCGCTGGTCAGGCAGGCAGGCCGCCCTCTGCTCCCCGAGCACCCACTCTGAGTGACACTCCAGGAGTGACTGGCAGAGACTCCAGGTGGCACAGGTCCCACACCAGCCATCAGCACCCCTTCCCTCCTCAAGCTTCCTCAGGGTTCAGCCGAGGGCACACCTTTGTCTGCAGGCTAGGGTCAGGCTGACCAGCATCGCTGGGGGAAGTGTCAGTCGGCCTGGCCCCTGGTCCCAGCCAGGAGCGCCCGCACAGAGCCCCACCTCCAGCTCATGGACTGTGAGCCCTCTGGACCCTCACCCACATGCCAGGTGCTGCAGACTGCCCCCAAGTACCTGTTCCGGGGAGATGTTCGTGTGGGTCACAGGCAGGATCTACGGGAACAAGACACAAAATGATGCGAGGGACAGCTCTCAGGCTGGGCACTGACTGCTTTTTGGATGCCATGGTGTTGGGGACCTGAGCCAGCCCTGGGCTGCTCCTCCCACCCCCTTGGCTGCCTGGGGCCTGGGGAGCTCAGGAGGCGGTGGGGACCCAGGCTGGGGTCTGGGCGGGGCCCACACGGACCATCACAGTGGCAATGATGGACAACAGTGCGTCACTGAAGCTGAGCATGCGGTGTGAGTGCTGGGTCCCGTCGGCAGCGTCCTCATCCCCTGGGCCTATGGAGGAGGCTCCCTGCACATTCAGGGCCGGCTCTGGGCTCTGGGGCCTGGACATGGTGGGGCCTGGGAGGAAGCACAGGTCTGAGCAAGAGCAATATACAAAACTCAACAACACATCTCTGAACTAGCAATAACAAATCTGACAATAAGCTTAAGATGACAATTACATTTACAATAGCATCAAAATACTTAGGAACACAGTTTAACAAAGAAGTACAAAAAGTTACTAAAGAGATTAAAGACCCCAATAAGGGGAAAGACAGCCCTTGCTCGTGGATTAAGAAACTTAGCATTGTCACGAATGAGCTACAGGCTCAGCTCAGTCCCTATCAAACTTCCAACTGCCTTCCCTGTAGGAGTTTACAAGCTGACCTTAAAACTCATATGGAAATTTAAGGAACCCTTGGCTATTTAAAGAGTAGCCAAAACAATCTTGAAAACGGAAAACAAAGGTGAGGACTTGCACTTCCCAATTTCAGAACTTAGTGCAAAGCCATGCTAGTCAAGTCAGTGTGGTACCAGCATAAAGACAGACGGACAGGCCAGTGGAGAAATCAGAGTCCGGAAGTAAACCTCTACGTTTGTGGTCAACTGATTTGCGTTAAGGGTGTCAAGACCATTCGGTGGAGAAAGAATTCTTTTCAACAAATGTTGCTGGGACAACTGGATATCAACATACCAAAGACTGAATTTGGAGAGTATCTTACACCACATCCAAAAATTAACTAAAAATGTGGCCCGGGTCTCAGTAGCCAAAAGGTGGATGACCCAAGTGTCCATCTATGGGTGAACATCTAAACAAAATGTGGCAAATACATCTACAACAGAATGTTAATTGAACTCCCTTAAAAAGGAAAGAAATTATCCTGTTACAAGATGGATGAACCCGAGGACACTATGCAGAGTGGAATAAGCCAGCCACAGAAGGACAAATACTGTGTGAGTCCACTTACACGAGGTCCCTAGAGGAGTCAGCCTTGCAGACAGAAAGTAGAATGGCGGCTGGCGGGGCTGGTGGGGAGGAGGGAGTTACTGCTCAGCAGGAACAGAGTTTCAGTTTTGTAGGATGAAGAGTTCTGGGGACGGGTGGTGGCGACGGCCGCACAGCGGTGTGAAAGTACTCATGCCCCTGAGCTGTGCGCTTAGAGGGTTAAGATGGCAGATTTTGTTATGTGTACTTTACTATGGGCAAATACATCCCAGGGCCTGGCACAATACATGTTCAAAAACATGTCAGCTGCACGTAACCTGCGTCACACACAAGTCCTAAGACTCGTGGTGACGAAGGAAGAAAACAGGACTGACAGTAGAGGAGGGCGGAGTTGAGAAATGATTTTTCTTTAATGAGAGAAGAGACAGGAGACTTTTAAAGTTCCAATGACAATAGGAGGAAAAGCTGAAAACTTGTACAACACGAAGTAACGAAGTACTTCGTTAGTAACGTACTTCGGCAGTAACGAAGGCTTGTGACCCTGGAGAGCACCACGCCCTGCGCCGGGCGTCAGCGGCAGACTGGGGCTGGACAGCCCCCCACAGCAAGTCAGCGCTGTCCCAGAGACGCCTCAGGGCACCGTGGAGCACGGAGCTTCCCTGGGTGGACTGAGTCTGGCGAAGCCCTCAGAACAAGGGGCGTCTGCAAATATTTATGACAAAGTGACGAGAACATGAGAGACATTTATCAAGTATTCACTGAGTGCCAAGCACCGTTCCGAGTACTTCATGCAAACTGCCTCTTCTCATTTTCAATGCTGTGAGGGTTACTGAAGACAAAGAGGAACTGGCTGTGCGTGTGTGTGACAGAGAGCGTGGTGTGACCACAGCACGAGGGCTGGAGCCCGGGCACAGCCTGCGAGGGGCACCTGAGGTGGGCTGGGGCTCACTCGTAGAGCCTCGTGTGCTCACTCAGGGGCCTGGACCTCACTGCAGGGACGGCGCAGGGACTGCGGGCTTCCCTTGCTGTGTCCGTGCAAGCTTGTTCACGTGTGTGTGGTTTATACATTCCGTACATTCCACTATCAGCTGTCTTCTCCCATTCTGGGCTGTGTTTTCATTTCCTCAACAATACACACGTATAGATTTTTTAAATCGGTAACTACTTTTTGAGCAGTTTCAGGTCTGCAGGAAACCTGAGGGAAAGTAGAGTTAGTTCCCATACCGTCAGCTCCCTGCCACGGTGTGGCACAGCTGGACACCGGACGGCCAGGCCACACTGCGTGCTCTGGTCCCATGGGTGGTTCTGACAAGTGGGCGACTTGCCCTCGCCATTAGAGGCACACGGGACACTTCCACAGCCCTAAGATCCCGTGCCCCCAGCTGCCTCTGCCTCCCCTGAAGCCCCTGGCACCTGTCACATCTTCCCTTTTCCAAGGTGTCACGCAGCCGGAATCAAACAGTAGGTAGTGTTTTCGGACTGGCTTCTCTTGCTCAGTAAGTGACTTTAAGGCCCCCGTCTTTTGGGGGCTTGGCAGCTCGTCTCTTCTCATCACTGAGTAAGATCCCACGTCACAGAGCACCACAGTGTGTCCACCAACCTAGGAAGCGCATCATCACAATGCACTTTGAAGCTCTCAACGCTGACGAGTCCTGGCTCTCTGTTCTTTTGTGGGTTGCTCTCTGCTGCTACAGTGAAAACCCTCACAGACTGTTTTCTAGAAGCTTTAGGTTTCACGTTTAGATTTATGATCTATTTTGATGCAAAGTACGGATGAGCATTTTTTAAACGCATGGATATCCAATGTTTCAAACATCATTTGTTAAAAAGACTACCCTTTCTCCAATTACCTTTACTCCTTATCCAAAGTCAACTGACCATACGTTTACTTGGGGGCCAGTTTCTGGGCTTGGTATCCTGTTCCATTGATCTACTTCTGTCATCTTCATACCAGTGTCACACCACCTGGATTACTGCGGCTTTGTAAGTACAGAAGTCAGAAAATAAAGGCACACAAATTTGTTCTTGTTCAGACTTATTCTAGTTTCTTTGCAGTTCCAAGTGAATTTTAAAACCAGTGTTGATTTTTATTTTTATTTTAAAATTTATTGTTTTTTTGGGGGGGTGTAATTAGGTTTATTATTATTTTTTAACTGAGGTCCTGGGGATTGAGCCCAGGACCATGCTAAGCACACGCTCTACCACTGAGCTATATGCCTTCCCCCCGACAGTGTGTCAATTTTTACAAAAAAAAGTCTGCTGGGATTTTAACTGGAATGGCATTGACTGATTAATTTGATTTCCAACACTGAATCTTCTAAGTTAACGAATACTGTGTATCTTTCCACTTATTAAGGTCTTTAGTTTCTCTAAAAGTTTTTCATTTTTCAGTTTATAAGTCTTGCACATCTTTTTTTTTCAGATTTATCCCAAGTATTTATTATTTTTGATGCTGTTTTAAGTGGTGTCTTTTTCTTAATTTCCACTTCCAGTATTTGTTGCCAGTTATTTAAAATTAACATGTATTTTTTACGTATTAACCATGTACCCTGCAGCCTGACTAAGCTCACCTGCCAGTTCTAGGAACTTTTCTTTCTTCTTTGTTTTTAAATCTAGAGCAGTGATTCTTAACTGAGAACCGAGAATTTTGCCCCTCAAGGGACATGTGCAATGCCTGGAGACCCTCTGGTTATGACAAGTGGTGTGTGTTCCTGGTACCTTGGAGCTGCCAAACATCCTACAGTGCACTGGACACCTCTCCACCCTGGCAAGGAATTACCTGGTCCACAATGTCAGTGGTGCCAAGGCTGGGAAACACTGACATGGATGATCACGTGGGTGATTTTCCATATATCTGCGGTTGATTTCTACCTTAACTCCACTGTGGTCAGAGCGCATGTGCCCAGAGCGTGCCCCATCTTGGTCCGTGTTGTTTACGTGTTCGACTCTGTGTGTGCCACTGTCACCATGTAGAGCATTCCACACATGTCCAGTCAGGCTGGTCAGTGGTGTCACTCACCTCTACCACGTCCCTGGTGATTCGGGGTACTTGCTCATCTTTTGTTGAGAAAGACGTATTGAAGTGTCCACCTCAACAGTGGGTATGTCTATCTCTCCTTGCTTAGTTTTATTTTAGTTTATTAGTTTTGCTTCATGTATTTCAAAGCTTTATTATTAGGTGCAAAGCTGTTTAGTATTGTCATGTCTTTTATGAATTTACCCCTTCAACATTATATAATGATCTTAATTTTTGGTAATAGTCTTTGTTATGAAATCTACTACAGAGGGAACAAGTTTGGGGGTGAAGACTATAAATTCAGTTTCAGACACATATATATGAGGTGTGCTGTCTAAGACTAAATGTCTAAGAGCTCAGGAGGGAAGTGTGGTCTGGAGACAGATATGTTTTTGATTTTTTTATGGAGGTAGTGGGGATTGAATCCATGTTCTCATGCATGCTAAGCACGCACTCTACCCACCCCAGAAAAAGATCTGGCTTAGGACAGTGTTACCAGAGCACCTAGGACAGGGCCAGTATAGACAGGTGCTCCACAGGCATGAAACACCAAGTCTGAACAGACTCTCACTTCAAAGTCATCGCACTGTTTAGAAATCTCCACCTGACCCTAGGTCCTGCCAGAATGAATTCACAGCCTCAAACTCAAATGAACCCTCAGACTGTATCACACTTTCCACTGAGTTATTCACTAGGTTTTCTGCAACAGCTATTTTGGATTTCTTTCCACACTGCTCAACTCTCAGCTCCTACTTTCCTTCTAATTCTCAGTAGATGTTTTCTTTTCCTTATTCACAGTGAAAATAGAAGTTATCAGAGAATCCCTTTGCTTTCATCCCAGTAAACACAAGTTACTTGCAACGGCAACCCATCTTCCTTTCTGTGACACTTAAAAGTGGTTTTCCTGTGTTCAAAGAGAACTTCGCTGCATGTCACTCCCTCCTACCTTGCAGAGGACCTCGCTTCACACCTGCCTCTTCTGCCCTAGCAAACCTCTCTCACTGGCTCCCTTCCACCAGCTTTAGGCTGCTCCAGAACCTCCCATCTTAAATCATCTCTGCACCATCATCACTCAAGCTCCCACACTTCCTCCTCCACAGCCAAACACCCAGTTACCTACATCTCCATTTCTGTATCCTTCGACTTCTGGTCAGCCCACCATGCCAATGAAACAGTATTACTCTTAGCAAGATCATCAAAAGTCTCACTGTTGCTAAATCCAACATACACCTTTTACTCCTTTTCCTATTTGACTTTCAAATGGCATTTGACACGCTTAAGTATCTTTTCTCTCCTAGAAACATCTTCTCTCTTTGGCCCCATGACATAACGTTCCCTTGGTCTTATTCCTGCTTCCCTGGCCACTCTTCGCTCTGAAGACTGTAACCTCTTTTAGTCCAACCTCGTTGTCGCCACTGGTGCTCCCTTCAAGTCAACTGCCACCCATATGCTAGGGACCAACAAACATCTGTCTCTCTCCTTCCCGAGCCCCAGTCTCTGTATTCCATTGCCCAGACAGGCAAGCTGGTGGAAAGGCCGCCTGACTTGGGTGGACCCTGGCCACGTGGCTGAGGAATGACACTGCTGAGCATGTGTCACGCCCAAAGCGGAGGGTGGGCGGGAATTAACTGTACTGTGACTTCTTCTCCAAGGTATGCTAGGCTCACTAAACTGGACACTTAGAAAGCACTGTATGGACTAAGCTACTTTATTATAATTATAAGAATAACACGTGTTAACCTGTCTGGAAAGAGATTTTTAATAGCTTGAAATTCTAGGAGGGTTAGGCCGCCGACTGGGGCTTTCGGCTGCCTCTTCCAGTTTGGGAACGAACACTCCATACAGGTACCTGCAGGAAGCAGCCAGGTAACTTAAGTGAGCCAAGTGGGTCAGGCGAGTGGTCGTGTCTTACCTGAGGGGCAGCTCTAGGTGATTGGTGACACTCGGGATTCTGGATCCAATGTTGCCAGATCTGATTTTCCTACGGAAGCTGCAGGACTGGGTATTTAAAGCGTAAGTCTTTTATTAACAACCAACTCAATTAAAAAAAAAACAACAGACACCGCGGACCCCACCAAACCGACGGGCGAGGAGCTCCCCGCTGCCCGGCGTCGCGGGAGTTCGATCGCTCGGGGACGTCCCCCGACCCGCTCCTCCGCCGCGCGGCCCGGCACACGCCGCCCTCCGTACGGCGAGCCCCTGAGCAGCAGTCTCCGCAGAAACAGCCACGTGGGGACGGTTGGGAGCCGGGCTACC